CCCGGGGGTGCGGGGAGGGGACTGGGGGGGCCCCCAAGCCCCCAGCCCCGTGGGGACGCCCTGCTGGCCTCCCATCACCTCCACGTACCTGTGGACCAGGGTTCCCTTGCTGTCCCGGGGGTCCCGGTTCCCCCTGGATTCCCTGGAGGGGCAGAGAAAGTCCATCAGCACAGCAGAAAACCCCCTCAGACCCCAGGATGTGCCATCCTGACGCTTGCTGCACCCCTGTGCACCCTCCCGGCCCACGCACCCCACGAGGGCAACGTGGCAGCTCTCGCCCCAGCCCTGCCTCCCCCTCCCTGGAGAATCCCGCTCTCTTGCTGGCTAATTTGGGCTGGGTGCTCCCAGGGGGGCCCCCACTGACACCCACCACGTTGCCTTTGGGACCCGGCGCTCCGTCGATGCCGCTGGCACCCTGTGGAGGAAGGAGGGAGGGTCAGGGCTGAGCTGCACCCGAGGGCAACGTGGCAGCTCTCGCCCCAGCCCTGCCTCCCCCTCCCTGGAGAATCCCGCTCTCTTGCTGGCTAATTTGGGCTGGGTGCTCCCAGGGGGGCCCCCACTGACACCCACCACGTTGCCTTTGGGACCCGGCGCTCCGTCGATGCCGCTGGCACCCTGTGGAGGAAGGAGGGAGGGTCAGGGCTGAGCTGCACCCCAAGGTGATGCCACAGCCAAGGACGATGCCGTGCCCAGGCTGACAGGTGATGGAGAAAAACTGAGCTGCACCCCAAGGTGATGCCACAGCCAAGGACGATGCCGTGCCCAGGCTGACAGGTGATGGAGAAAAATCCCCTTGGCCCGAAGTGGGGACAGATGGACAGACAGACAGGCAGGAGCGGTGTCTCATACCGGTGGTCCGGGGAGTCCGGGGGGACCGCGTGAGCCGATCAGGCCTCGCATACCCTAGGGCCGAGGACATAGGGGTCAGTGGGGACTCAGATGGCAGCACTGACCCCAGCACCCCATATTCCCTGGGGTGGGGGAGTCCAGTGCCCAAATCTCTCCTCCAAAAAGCCACAGGGAGAAAGCCAGGAGCCAAGCTTGCCCCGCACCGCTCCCGGGGCTGGGGGAGAAGCCGGGACCGCCTACCGG